AAAATTCAGCTTCAATTATCTACGTGACTAATAACGTAAATAAGACCTGATTTCCACGTACTGCTTACGTGATATGGGGGTGAAAACTACTGGACATCTGGTAACTTTTACGTGACATTCCGTTTGGTTTAAAATACTTTTTATGTAATTTGTATGTGAATTTTTAATGATAACAATCGGAAGTATGTATAGAACGAGTCAATATTATGCAATTTTATCGGGAAGATATAAATTTCACGTGTTTAAATTAATACTTATATCTACTCATAAAATTGTACAATATTGACTAATTGATTATTATAAGGTAGAAACGTGTATGAGTTTTTTTTATTTCTGACAAAATATTAACACTTGTTGCAGACTCAAAATGCTGATGTCACCGTCTGAAATTATAAAACTAAAAAAGGCTACATATAATCATAAATAAATTAATATAAAAGAATCTAATTACCGTCCAACATTTGCAACAAGCGCTGAGGAATTTTGAAACTTTGAAGAGGTCTTCCACAACGCTCGGTGACGCCATATTGATTTTTTTGCGTACCTGAAAATCACGTAAATCTCGTTTCACGGAAATATCGAAGTCCCAAACACACAAACACAAATACACTAAATATGTTAACGTGAATATACGGTCAATTTCACCAACATTTTTAGTGGACATGACGTGTAATGCAGATCAAAGTTACTAACGTAACGTAACATTTGAGATTTTCTAAATACAGATCAGGTACGTGATATTTCACGTAAATCGGACGTGAAGATTTTTTAGAGTGTAGCTTCTAGCAAGGGTTGCAAGATTATTTAGGTACAAATCCCTGCTGCCGAATTGTATTTTGTTTTCTCCGCCCATCTCTTCCTCTGAGTATTTCTAGTAACCACTACCACAAACGAAGTGACAGACGACTAACTGGCGAAGAAATCAATTAAAATAATGTGGTTCGCTGTAATAGAATTTTCTTAGAAGCTTTTGCCATCATCCACCAGATGGGATAGTATTTTTGTTTTGATTTGAACATAGTTGGTTTTGTGTGCAATATGATCTTTGACAGTGTGCAAAGAGTGTATCATTTTGTCATTTTTTTTTATGCATTTCAGTTTTGAGTAGAGTGAAAGAAATAGAACCAAAACATTCTAGTACAATCCATTAGTAGTGTTGCCATGTGGTACAAGCCAGTAGTAGCAACAATCAATACGAAACTAACGATTTTAAATTGGCTCACCACTTTAGTAGCCTATTGGTCCCAAGCAAACGATTAACGTACCCTATTCTACTTGAAATTCTATTACTACACTATGTTTGTTTTGATTCGCTATGAAAGTTTGACAGATAACATCAGGGGTGTGTGGATTCATGCAGAACATGCAGGGGTGAGTGAAATAGCTTGGGACTGCTTGGGACCGTTGTTCTGGTACTGAGTGAGCCAAAAATAATAATGATTTTCTTCGGGACCCAGTGGTCTTAGAGTTACCTCTATGGTAGTAGTGGCACAAACGAAGTGACAGACGGAGCGGCTCGAAAACTTTGGTGACTAACCTGCTATTGCAATTTTTCAGTGTACCACATGGCAACACCACTACTACTGGATTGTACCACATGGCAACACTACTACCATAGAGGTAACTCTAATACCCCGTTCACATTACAGCGTATATCACGTGATATACGCTGTCTTGCAATGAGCACTCGTACATCTAGTTTTCACTGGAAATCCTATGTATGAGTGCTCATTGCAAGACAGCTTATATTACGTGATATAGGCTGTAATGTGAACGGGGTATAAGACTAGTAGGTCCCGAAGAAATGTGCTCAACTTTTTGGCTCAGCTCTGGTACTATCTTCGGTCCCAAGCTAATCGATTCACCCCTCGAAACATAGGAAAATCCAGGGGGAACGACACTCATTTGGATGTATTTTTTCAGTCTAGTAATTACTTGGGATTTTTGAGGAAAAACATATTTGATGGGATTTTTTTGAGTGTGTCGTGTTGACGAAAATGCAGCACCGATTGAAAAAATAGATGGGATAGATCAGGGAATGGATGTGATGTAAGTGGTGTTAAAAAGTTTCAGAGGAATACAAGTCCGAACGTGAAGAGGATAGGTGTAAAAAGAAGAAAAATCTGCTGCAATGCAGCGTCCATAAATTACGTCACGCTTATAGGGAGAGAGGGCAGGGGTCACCTATATAGTTACGAATTATTAAATAGGGGAGGAGGAGTAAAGCTTTCCGTTACGTAACAACGAGAACATTTTGTTTTTTTTTCTTGATGTAAAGTTTGAAAATACAGGTCAAAAAATGTCTTCACTAAATCTTGCTTGCAAAATGGATATGTTTTAATCTGGGTTTTAATTTTATATCTTGAGATTTTTGCTACGCTTAAACTTTTGAAAAGCAGGGTCTCGATGTTACCTATGATGTTACGCTGATCTTTTGTTTTAAATTTGAATATTAATAATACAATTACCTACCTACACATACATACCGGAATCACAAATTAATTAAATGAGACGGGCGGGGGGAAGGGGGGGGGATGTATTTTAGAGCGTTATGTAATAAATAGAGGGGGATCATTTTCAGTGTAACGTTTTGTTCTAAAAGGGGGGGGGGGGGGTCGAAACTATTGATTTTTAGCGTAACGTAATTAATGGACACCGCCCAAAAATGTTAACCAAAGATCACAGCTCCAGTGCAGAAAACGGTTCCGTATCAAATATGTCGAAACTGCACAGTAGGTGGTTGCGATGGATACTAGGTTCCGGTCATTATTCCCAGCTATATTTGGACGGGAATTTGATTCCCAATATTCTCGCATAGAAACTCCATCAGCCGGTGGGTGTCTTTCTTCACCATTAGCTCTTTCTTATCCGAATCCTTGACCAGTAGCAGCAACGAGTAAAACTTGGGCCGGTTGGAAAAATGACCTGAATTCCTTCTCCACCTGCTTGTCGTAACTTCCATGCTACAACACACAGACACCTGGGCGCTTATCCGTCGAATTCGATCGGTTTGAGTTCGGGAAATGGATGTGCGTTGCCGTCTTCTCCGTGATGCACTTGATGTTGTCCCGCGACCGATTTTAGACAAGTGGTCCGTCATCTTTTTTAAGTTTTCGCACCTATTTTTAGCTGGCATAGCCAGCGTAGCCAGCTGACACAAATGGTGTTTGTTGTAGAGATTGTTGAAAAATGACAGTGAGTATGGCAGAGTGCTTCGCGGTCGACCTGAAAACTTCGAGAAACTGCACGGCTTGCTTGACAATTTGTGTGCATGCAGAAGGGGTAAGTTGGGAATAGAAAAAATAGATAGGATGAATTGAAATTTTGTGCACGTTGAAAATTTTATGAGAGGTTTTGGTAAAAATGGGATAATCCTGAAGTGTCGTTCCCCCTGGGAAAATCGAATAACCCCTCATTTTATCTGTCAAACTTTCATAGCGAATCAAAACAAACATAGCGTAGTACTAGAATTTTGACAAGAATGGGGTGCGGTAATCGATTTGCTTGGGACCAATAGGCTAGTCAAGTAGTGAGCCAATTTAAAATCGTTAGTTTCGTATTGATTGTTGCTACTACTAGATTGAACTAGCATTTTCACCAAATGTACTAGAATGTTTTGGTTCTATCTCTTTCACTCTACTCAAAACTGAAATGCATAAAAAATGACAAAATGATACGCACAAAATGCAAAGACTATCAAAGAATCATTGTACACAAAATCAACTTTGTTCAAATCAAAACAAAAAAACTAACCCATCTGGTGGATGATGGCACAAGCTTCCAAGAAAATTCTATTACAGTGAACCACATTATTTAAATGGATTTCTTCGCCAGTTAGCCGTCTGTCACTTCGTTTGTGGTAGTGGTGTTGCCATGTCGTACACTGAAAAATTGCAATAGCAGGTGCGTCACCAAAGTTTTCGAGCCGCTCCGTGTGTCACTTCGTTTGTGACTCAAGGCCGGCGCACAATGCATACGTTTTCGGGTTTTTTGACAGATGCATGGACTAACTGTCAAAAAACCTGAAATCGTATCTATTGTGCGCCGGCCTTCAGTCTGTTATGCGGCACTACGAATCGAAGTGATTTAACATTGATTTTCAAGTTATTTGCATTTTGAAACACAGTGATCTGTCGTTGAAAAATATGTACTGTATAACACCTTTAAATCAAAATGATTATCATTTGAATCAGCACCACTGTTTTCATCCATTGAGGCTCTGAACCATCTGGTGGATGATTTTAACTTTTGGTTAAAATTTGACAGGTGAAAAGTTATCGATTAACCCTGCTATCCGAGGGTGGTTACTTCTGACAGACAAGAAGTTAAATTTTGACAACTGTGGCTGAGTTCTTCTCGAAAACCGGTCGATCGACAGCACAGGGATTTTCGAACATAGAAAATAACTTTCGAAATGTCACTTTTAACCACAAACGAAGTGACAGACGGAGCGGCTCGAAAACTTTGGTGACTAACCTGCTATTTCAATTTTTCAGTGTACCACATGGCAACACCACTACTACTAGATTGTACCACATGGAAACACTACTACTGGATTGTAATAGCATTTTCACCAAATGTATTAGAATGTTTTGGTTCTATCTCTTTCCCTCTACTCAAAACTGAAACGCATAAAAAAATGACAAAATGATACACTCTTTGCACAAACGAAGTGACAGACGTCCATTGATGTAATATTGTATCTGCTTTTTGCTATTACATCATTATTTCATACATCAGCTTGAATTACATTGACCGATATTACATTTTTTTTTTTGCTGTGTAAGGAGATTTCTATCCGTGTACGTGATACCATATTATTTTTATCAGTGTAGAGGGTTTTTGGGGAACTCTATAATAATCAACCAAACTGGCAACCATTGAGGCACAGATTGAGGTGAACCGATTCAACTTTATCGGCTTTGCTAATAAATTATCCAAATGACGTTTGATTGATGGAAAACAACTTCAGTAGTCAGTGAAAATCGTGAAAATAAGTAGATGTGTTGTGAAACGAATGATTTTCTGAATTATTGGCTTAGTAGGTATTCGCTGAAAAAGTTAGAAAATTTCTGTCAATTTTCTTAAACCGTTGCCTCAGAGATACGTAAGTACCTACAACTACTAAAATTTCATATCTACAAAATAGGTATTTAAAAACAAAATTCAAAAAGTACCTTGTTAGTAGTTTGTTTACATTCGTTTAAAGAGTTATTATTTATTTTCACGTACATTTCGCAGATCTTGGATGTCAAGAAGTACCTCAAAAGATCCGTGTAAATCTTCGGCGTGTCGGATTCAAACCTGCTTGAAAGGTACTTTCTTTGTTACTTGCGACGATTCCAGGTTCTGCATCTCTTACGTAACTTAACCTCGCTTCTCGAACCGGCTTGTCATCACCGTCCGGGTTTTTTTTTATTTTAATCCGGAAATTAATTATTTTCTTCTACTTGTTATCTACAGAGCATAAGTTCGACGAGACCAAATGCTACGATGTCCTCGAGGACATGCGCCAATGTTGCCTGAAATTTCATAAGGTGTCGATTTGCTGTTCCGGGATCAAATTGGAACGTAACTATAGACTAGAGAAGGAAGCAGCCGAACGCGAAAGGCAAGAAAAGCAACATAGCAAGCAATGACCCACGACCCTCGACGTCGGGTGATCGTTCCGAAACGTAACTGGGCTCAACGTAATCCCCGATTGTTTGTTGGTAGCGTAACTGGAACGGCACTGCTGATCTTTTTTTCGAAACCACTGTACGACGCATTCATCGCGGACGAACCACCGATCAGGCGGGAACTACGATCGATTCGAATTGGTCCAAAGTAGCGGGGCGAAGTTTTCAAAATGGAATCCGTGAGGAAGGCTAACCAAAGACTTAGAAACTATCCCATATTGTTGGCCAAGTGTTCGGTGGCCGCTGCTGCCTATGGCGCGTGTATAACAACGGACCTTAATGTAGCGCATAAAACGTGTGATCAGGAATTTCAGCAATTCAAACAGTGCTTACAAAAGGCAGCTAGTGATATGAAAACAAAACTATGAGTGGCGGGGGATCATGTGAACTGATTTTTTTGTGTGTGAATGTTATTGCGAAAAATTAACTAACCAAAAAATCGGAAAACAATACTACTAACACTTCACGTAGTTTAATAAACGAATAAAATTGGTTAGAAATGTGAGTATCAGTATTAATATTCCTTGAGGATCTTGGGGGACAAGACAAGACAACCGACCTCAACTCATAATTGCCTCTCGTTTCAGATAGTTGAGTCGGTAAATCATTCGGACATGATGTCTTTCAAAAGGCACCTCGGCGTCAGTATCGCCATCCGCATCTTTCTCGTATATTACGGTGAGGTGCAGGATAGCTTGTCCGAGATTCAATACACCGACGTCGATTACCGTGTGGTTACTGATGGAGCTAGTCATGTTCTCAACCTGAACTCTCCCTTTAAAAGGCATACATACCGTTACACACCACTACTGGCATATCTCGTCCTGCCAAATCTGCTGCTGCATCACAGTTTTGGCAAATTCATGTTCTCACTGTTCGACATCTTCATAGGGGTGCTAATCAAATGGATCTTACTCAACTGCTATCGTGGAAATAAGATTTCCATCGAGAAGAAACTGTTAAAGCTGGAGACGTTGAACAATCGCAACAAGTATCTCATGAAGCGAAAGAACGAAATCCTGAACAATAGTAATGAATCATTGCCACCGAAGTACATCAGAATGGCTGAAATAAGCGCGTATTTTTGGCTTTACAATCCACTAACGATGGTAATTGCAACTAGGGGAAATGGAGACTGTGTATCTTGTTCGCTTGTTCTAGTAGCGCTTTATTTCTTACTGAAAAATGAACAAACCATCTTTCAGTTCTTCATGGCAGGTTTGTTCCTCGGCATATCAATTCATTTTCGACTTTATCCAATCGGATTTTGCCTGGCGTTTTACCTAGCCACGCTCGATAAGCCGTTGCAAACACTGAAGGATTATCTGCAGGCAGTGCTAATGCCCAGCACCAAACAGCTAGCCTTGGTACTCGGAACAATTACGTCCCTAGCGCTATCAACCGGATTTTTCTACTATCTCTACGGATATCAATATCTCTACGAATCCATCCTATACCATCTGGTTCGGAAAGACACGCGGCACAACTTTTCGCTATACTTCTACCTTCAATACCTGAGTTCCAACTTCGACATCACTCAACTGGAGAAAATCCTCACATTTCTACCACAGCTTGTGCTCATCGTGATTATTACCCTACGCTATGGGAAGCATCGTCAGACGCTGGGCTTCTCCCTGTTCGCCATTGCCTTTGTGATGGTCACGTACAATCCGGTCGTCACGTCGCAGTACTTCGTGTGGTTCCTGTCGCTGCTGCCGCTTAGCGTCAAAAATTTCAAGAACATCGGCATGCGCAAGGCGATCTTCATCCCGGTGATGTGGTTCATATCCCAGGCTGGTTGGTTGCTTCCGGCGTATCTACTGGAGTTCAAAGGATGGAACACCTTCGAGTTCATCTGGATCCAGAGCATTGTGTTTTTCTTCTCCAATATATTGATACTGCAGATGCTGGTGACGAACTACGATATGGCTTATAACTACAAAATCGATTGAACCGTGGAATTATGTATGATTGGAAGGGATTTTTTGTCAGTATAAAATTTTCTAAACGCTATTGACGCTTGTTTGAACATGTGAGTTGAGAAATGCTTTCTAATAAATTCTGTACAGTGTCGTGAATTCACGCTAATTATTCGCTACGCTTGTTTTTGTCCAGTATTCTCTGAACGTCTCAACATGTACTGTTCCACTACCTAGCTTTTGATGTATTCCTTATCGTATGTTAAAATTCTAGTTAATCATTTTTGACTGATTAACGAGACTTAATTCCCTTGTTAAATACCTACATGAATATGATGTGCTTCTCACTGATATCAAATAACTGTAAACTTGTTGGCAATGGTAGGTATTCGTTTGATTACTGAAGCAGCATCAGTATTTCAGTGCCTAGATAGCCTTAGTTTGGATGCATGTCTCCAATTTATCGAGTTTCCTACACTTCCTGGATCGTACTACACTTACTCAAATCATCTAGCTCGTTGCTTGTCACAGATTGCTAAACACCGCTCCCTCTCCTCCTTAGAGCGTGACACACTTAAGGGGATACACCTGGGTGGGGTTAAAAAATCGATTTTGACGAAGGACTACGTCTGTGATTTCTATATGAGGGTACACTTTGTGAAAGCCGAAAATGGAACATGTAACAAAATTATGAAAGATTTTGAACGTTAATAACTCAGCTGCCCCTGGACCAGTTTCAATAATTTTATCACCAATCGATCAGAAATATTCCTACGCATCTGCTAAAGTTAATACTTTACCGTTTTTCAAAACGTAACGATTGAAAATTGCACGAATGTGCAACTGTTGCTATGATAATTAAAATTATCACCGATTGCCTGCGAAAAGCGATTTCCTTAACACAGATTTCAAAGTTGAATTCCATCCGGTTTCAACAAACGGTGTTTATTCAATCACCGTGTGGTGAGTGGTAATGTTCTCAAGTACACAACGAAAAGCTCCCAACAAACAGCTAGCTATCAAGTCTGGCCTCAACCGTTGATCGGATTCAGTTCCAATCACCGTGTGTGGTCGTCGGCATCAGTAGCAGTGCTTTCGGCACGTGGCGTTGAACATTGTTCTCCAGTACACAACGAAAGGCTGCCTGTAAGCAGCGAGCTGGAGCCCACATGAGCATCCATAGAAGGAGGAAGAAGTCGCACCGCTATTGATCGGAATCAAGTAGCTCTTCGTGAGTCGCTGTGGGCCATCAATGCCAAGCGCGTCACCCTCATTCCAAACAACATACAGCTCACCAGCCTAGGGTGTTTAACACCCTAATAGTTCAGCATTACTCAACCATCACGACAAAACGGTCCTTTTCAGGACCACCATAAATTTGTGAAAGGGTATTTTTTTGGACATTTGTCAAGGTCATCAATAGGATGTCAGTTCCCATATCAAGATAGAGCTGGAATTAGGACGTAACAGCTTTTGTAAACAATGACTTCTTTCGATGATGTCTTGAAAGTCTTTTTTCCTGTGGTTTGTTTTTTCCGTCGATCTTGTTTTCCGTGCTGAGCACCAATGCTACCAACGTATCAGGAAGGCAGCTCCCACACCTGGACCCTACCTATCGACCCATCAACTTATGAACCGGGGACCAACGGCTTTACTTCCCATCCGAAGGAAGGCGTGATCAGAGATGTTATGCCTCAGAACATCCCGGCGGCGCCGACTGGGATTGAACCCAGGCCTGCTGGGGTGAGAGGTAATCACGCTTACCACTACACCACCGGCGCCGTTGTCTTGAAAGTCATGGCTCACCCACGCAAATCAGCATCACCATCGGTGGGGTAAGACCATAGAGGTAACTCTAAGACCACTGGGTCCCGAAGAAAATCATTATTGTTTTTGGCTCACTCAGTACCAGAACAACGGTCCCAAGCAGTCCCAAGCTATTTCACTCAGCCCTGCATATTCTGCATGAATCCACACACCCCTGATGTTATCTGTCAAACTTTCATAGCGAATCAAAACAAACATAGTGTAGTAATAGAATTTCAACTAGAATAGGGTACGTTAATCGTTTGCTTGGGACCAATAGGCTACTAAAGTGGTGAGCCAATTTAAAATCGTTAGTTTCGTATTGATTGTTGGTAAGACTTCCTCCAACAATCAATACGAAACTAACGATTTTAAATTGGCTCACCACTTTAGTAGCCTATTGGTCCCAAGCAAACGATTAACGTACCCTATTCCAGTTGGAATTCTATTACTACACTATGTTTGTTTCGATTCGCTATGAAAGTTTGACAGATAACATCAGGGGTGTGTGGATTCATGCAGAACATGCAGGGGTGAGTGAAATAGCTTGGGACTGCTTGGGACCGTTGTTCTGGTACTGAGTGAGCCAAAAATAATAATGATTTTCTTCGGGACCCAGTGGTCTTAGAGTTACCTCTATGCTTCCTCTACCCGACGGTAATGTTGGTTTGCGTGGGCGTGCCTTGAATTCATAAAAATCATCGAGAGAAGTCATTGTTTACAAAAGCTGTTATGTCTAATTCCAGCTCTATCTAGATCAGTGGCGTCCCGTAACCTCACTTTTTATCTGTGCACCACCTGGTTTTGAAATATTTAATGGCATATTCATACTCGAATCGGTTGAAAATACACTTAATCTTCTAGTTTACTCGATATCTATCCATTGCAAGCAATATTTTGATGATTGTTTATGTTTAGAGAGTTGGTGCACAGGTAGATTGAGGTTAAAGAAACGATACTGATCTAGATATGTTTAAATCAAACATACCATGTACTTTAATGTAACATTGGGGGTGCAATTTCAAAAACCAAAGTCGGTCGCGGCATGAAAGTGGTCTGAATCTGATCCAGAGATTATGGATTTTAGTTTTTAATACGGGAATCGATAGTATTTTTTTCTGCAAATCTATTAAAATGAAGGCTTAATCATTTTTCAAAATGTTACTATTGTAACTGTTGCTATGATTATTAAAATAATCACCGATTGCCTGCGAAAAGTGTTTTCCCTAACACAGATTTCAAAGTTGCACTCCATCCGGTCTCACCAAACGGTGTTTATTCAATCACCGCGTGGTGAGTGGTGGTTCACGTACAGTACACAATGAAAGGCTGCCTGCAGCCCACATGACCATCCATAGAAGGAGGAAGAAGCCGCAAAGCTATTGCTCGAAATCAGTAGCTCTTCGTGAGTCGCTGTAGGCCATCTATGTCAAGCGCGTCATACTAAAGAGTATAAACAGAGAGAACTCCGCTCAAATTCCTATTCCTACACAAAACACAAGCTCTCGCTGCTGCAAATAAGATTTTTTATGTAGTCACGTAGTCCTAGATCACCATTGCGTACAACCATAGAGGTAACTCTAAGACTAGCAGGTCCCGAAGAAACGTGCTCAACTTTTTTGCTCAGCTCTGGTACTATCTTCGGTCCCAAGCTAATCGATGCATCAGCTTGAATTACGTTGATCGATATTACATTTTTTTTTGCTGTGTAGAATCACCGACGAACCGACATGCCACAGGAGCATTTCGTTTGTCCACAATAAGAATTGTCAAACGAGCGATTCGAACTTTCAAACGGGCGATCAGATTATAGTCGCTATATTAATAGTCTGGCGGATAGAATTTCGATCTATCAAAAAGCGGAACCAATTCAATATATTGTAGACCAACAATTGAAAAGGTACTATCAACTTTTAAAAACAAAACGTTGATTATTATTTCCTCGCCAATCGAACGAAAATTACCAGCATCATCACATAGGGGAAACTTTCCCCAACCCAAAGATGGTGTTAGTTTGCGTAGGCGATCCTTGAGTCACTCGAAAAGGGTTTCCGAAGTTTTGATCGCAATAGCTGATGAGCTCTTTTCTGTTGTTGGTCGTGATTTGCTCAATTGGTTCCCGAGATTATATCCGCCAGACTAGGAATATAGCGACTATAGATCAGATCTGTCAAACGAGGTGAGACGCAAACCAAGGCAATATAAATTATACGTGGGTTCGTGTCCTTGCTTATGGTATGACGCGATCGGATGAGTAGATGTCGGTAGTGTTCGTATTTTAAATATGGTGTCTTGGGCACGAATTTGAAAGTAGCTTGTATGAGCTGTCACGTTGGTTCGTCGGTGCTAGAATGGGGTACGTTAATCGATTTGCTTGGGACCAAAAGGCTAGTCAAGCAGTGAGCCAATTTAAATCGTTAGTTTCCACCGGGTGGTAATACCATAGAGGTAACTCTAATACTAAAAGGTCCCGAAATAACGTGCTCAACTCTTTGGCTCAGCTCTGGTACTCTCTTCGGTCCCAAGCTAATCGATTCACCCCTCGAAACATAGGAAAATCCACGAGCCTCTCATATTATCTGTCAAACTTTCATAGCGAATCAAAACAAACATTGCTTAGTACTAGAATTTCGACTAGAATTGGGTACGTTAATCGTTTGCCAATCGTAGTGAGCCAACTTAAAATCGTTAGTTTCGTATTGATTGTTGGTAATACCATAGAGGTAACTCTAAGACTAGAAGGTCCCGAAGAAAATCATTATTATTTTTGGCTCACTCAGTACCAGAACAACGGTCCCAAGCAGTCCCAAGCTATTTCACTCACCCCTGCATGTTCTGCATGAATCCACACACCCCTGATGTTATCTGTCAAACTTTCATAGCGAATCAAAACAAACATAGTGTAGTAATAGAATTTCAACTAGAATAGGGTACGTTAATCGTTTGCTTGGGACCAATAGGCTACTAAAGTGGTGAGCCAATTTAAAATCGTTAGTTTCGTATTGATTGTTGGTAATACTCTGAACCTTGACCGACCCACTAAAGACCTCATGAGACTCCGCAACACCATCCGTAGGCAGTATCGGTATCAGCGTACTGGTCTGCCACCGTTTTAACAATATCATCCAAGCCAGGATATGGTGGATCTCAGAAATAACGATTTTGCAAACAAGGTTCAGATTGTGCTAAGCCGTTCTGGAAAACGACAATGATTTTAAAAAATAAGTCTAGGCCCATCCCTCCCCTTTTCCCTCTCCCCTTAGAATTCGGATTCATCCTTACTTTTAA